CGGACCCAACATTTCCGTACGAAAAGGTGGATCAAGCATAAGTGGAAACGCGACTTGCGGTTTCGTTGCGGTAAGATAACGATCACACCAAAATGCCGGATCTTGATCCACCTTTTTCCAATTCAAGTGGGAACGCGGTGTAAAAGTAACTGTTCAATTTCCTAACTACCGGTACATTTGTACGTACTGGTATGATTACTAATACATACATGATACATAAAGATGTATGTATACATAGGGAAACATGTTGCAATTTCTCATTTTCATTTTTGATTTAAGAAATATCTCTGTAAACTGCCGATAGGCCTATGTATTAATAGTTTGGTTGATTTCTAGAGCATTTCAAGACACAGTTGACCATGTTGCAATGTCAGGACTTTCCATTACTGCACCAACATTCCTGAACTTTCTAGGGCAAACCATGATACATGTAAACACAAACAGCCTGAGCCATGTGGCAAGTTGTAATCTTTAATCCAGGGTTTCTTCACTTCTTATCCTTCGACTGAATGGAATTACCACATACCTACTGAATGAGATTACCATACTTGTATTTATCATAGAACTACGAGGCCAGACTAAAGCCAGACCAATCGAATGTATGATCCCAAACTTAAAACAGGAAGTTTTTTGGGGCAACATTTCCTTCAATAAAAAAATGACAGTTGCACAAAGTTCCCTTGGGGGGTAGTGAGGTTGGGTCAGTACTAGTGATACATGTACATACATGTATGTGTACTTTTCTTGTTTGAGTCCCTCATACAAATGTAGGTCAACCATGGGCCAACAAGTGGATTTATTTAAGTTTTCAGTCCCTGCTGATTCTGCACATACATACCGGTATGTTTCCCCTGGGATATCATACCCACAATACCCTCCCATTTTTGAAATTGAATTGTTTTCATCATGTTTTAAAGGTACATGAAATATGTACAACATTTGCCTTTGCTGTAATTTTCAGAAATGGATCCCCCTGGATATTTTTATATGGGGGTTAGTATTTTAAAAGCAAATACATTTAATTACTGACCTGTTTAAAGTTTTGTGTTCATAGATGCTGGCATGTAGATGCTGGAAAAACCAAGAACAAGTGCTAGTGCACAATAAGCTCTGGCCGTGTTGCAAGAAGTCTTGCATGAAAGTCTTGAATGAAATCGATCAAAATGATCCCTGCCAGAGCTTAAAAATCCAACGCCGAAAAATGCGATGCAGATGGCACATGGAACACCCATACTTTCGGTCAAATTTCGGGGACAGACTGACAGACAGCCCGACAGACAGACAGACCAACCATGCACCCGTTCATGGATGTGCAAACAAAATGTGGACTAACTATGAATTTGGTAAATTGGGGCAGCACGTGTTTGAAGAAAAAAAATCAGTTTTTTCACACAATGGTAAGCCGACCATCATTAGAAATTGCTACAAAAAGTCGACTTTTCTTGAAAATGACAGCACACCAGGTGGTGCTAAGATTTCACAGGAGGCTTGAGCTTAAATTCACTTACAGACAGGTACCGGTATTTCCTAATAATTTTGTAGTTTCATTTTTTTTATGTTTGCAAATGTTGTACATACACCTTTAAGTGTCTAAACTTGTTCCAAAATCCAGGTTGTCAATAATGGTTGATATTTTAGTTGAATACATGTACATGTAATATGTATTGGCTCAAAATGCAAGGCTTTTGTATACAGGTGTATGACCGATATTTTACTTAAACCCTGTTTGCTTAAGGATATTAGTCTAATTACCTAACACTATCATCCTGTCTACCTTTGCCCAGGTGTACAATGCATGTGTGTACAAGGACATGACATAGGGAGCCAGACAAGGAAATACTGGATATTACGAGGGCAATGGGTTACCTGTAGGTTTCCGCTCAATGACACAACAGTATAATAATAACAATCACGTCCACACAAAACATACAAAGGTTTCCTCATCCAGTGTTCTGACCCAGTTTTCAGGCCGGTAGTCATTTTCCTTGGTAGCCATTTCTAACATATTTGCCAGAGTACATTGTAATTAAAGTTGTAAAAACAAACATTTGCACCTGGTCTCCAATTCAACATTATAACGCATGTACATTGTACATGTACACATTAACATTTTTTCCCTCGTACATACTTTGTACACTGTAGAGAATTAAATTTAAATGAGAGAAAACATGATCTGAATCATCTGATACACCGTGCCCTCTGGAGACATGCACACAATAGGGAACAAAAGATGGAATACGTCTCCACAGGGCAATTCCTATAGATGAATACGTCTCCACTAGTAAGGTTTTCACAAAATATGGATTTTACTCAAAAACTAGGAATTCCCAAGGTTTGTTGATCAGTCACAAATGGTAGAGTTTTCGACAAGGGATCTAAATGTCCAAATTTCAGCCAAGGAAATTAATTCTGTTAAAATAAGAGCATTTTAAAACTGTACTTTCAAACTCGAAAAGTTTAGTACACGAGAACAACAAAAAGTTTTCACAAGGATACAAATTTCAGTGTACATGTATGTACATGTAGTCTCTCCTTATCTTGTAAACTCTTCATCCACCAACATGTACGTGTATATCAGCAGTTTAACTGATTTTTTATTTCAGATGTTTACTGAACAGGTACAAAATACAAATTTGATAAATACATTGTCATAAAAGAAAAGACAGGTTCAAACAAGTAAACTGTCCATGGTGCAAAATATAAGAGAAACTATTTTAATGACCATGATATGTTGTCAAAACAAAACACTGAATCTGTCACACTGATGCTGACCAAAATTAGGACATGTGGTTTCAACATCTAAATATTTTGGACCGTGACAAACATCAGTGAACTTCTTTGTAATTTCTCTGCCTATTACAGTCTACATACCTGCCCGACAATAAAGTTGTCGCGTAAAAATGATTCATTGCTTTTTACTTGAACGGTTACAAAAATAAAGCATGGGAATTTCTCAGATAATTCATTGTGGGAATTTTTTTTATGACAATCGGTGTGTATATATAGTGTCGGGACACTTTTGGCTATTCATGTGACGAATTGAACAAACACTCACAGAGCCCACATGTACGCTACAAAGGGCAAACGTACAAAAACACACACACAGATAAGGGACGTGGTAAAGACTACGCATACGTATTTATGCCTTGTGCGTGTGTGCACAAAAGTGATGAGGAATGATTCTGGAATTCCCTGCTGTTTGGATGACACAGTTGATGCTCAAATTAGAAATCTGATGGGTCTGGCCTTTTGGCCAGGTCCCCTTCGGTTGTGTACAAATCTTTCACTGATGTCATTGTATACGGCAACATCCCATGGGCGGCTACACAGCCACCCAAAACAATCTGACGTCAATCTTGGTATTCCATTTCAAGCAAATATGTAGGCCTATGCAGTGCATTACAAGGGAAAGAAAATTAGTAGCAGGAGTCATAAAACTGTGACTACAGGTAACTTTTGAGGAGAAGTCAAACAAACTTAACTAATTCATATCAAAATTATATGCAATGTCTTACTTTAAATACCAGTATGTCTGGACAATTTCTCTTGGTCTAATTACCTGTAAGATTTTTTTAAGGTATTTGAAAACTGTTTCATGTATAGATGTCTATATTCAAGCTTATCAAAGTTTGTGATAAAAACTTACAAATATGTATGTAAGTCAAAAGTGTATATATAACATATGAAATAACTTGTCCCTTGGTTTGTACGAGATGACACTTGAAGCTTGAGTGACAGTGAAATTACATTTTTGTGTTACATGTAAAACATGTTTTTCCAGTATCTTCACTGACTAAAATGCACAATAGTACAACCCTTTGATTCACTGTTACAGTAAAGTACTTTTTGAGAAGCAAGTTTTCGGCCAAATATAGAGCTGGTTTGGTGATGTGGACAAGTGGTACAAAAGTCCTTCAATGTTACACATTTGGATTGCAAAACAAAGTCAAGGCCCTATCTATACTCATCTGAGTACTTTTTGAGCAGTTTTATCCAAAAAGTTTATTGATCACAGAATGAGGCAGTCCTCAATCTTGTATTTAGCAAGGATATCACAAGTGTACGGGAGGGGAAATACATGTAAGTAGGATAAGGGTGTGGTGGGGTGAGCTGTTTTCACTTTTCTATTAAGCTAACCAAATGATAACACGCACAGATCCCATTTAACCCAAATGCATGTCTCATTGAACTTGGAATCAGTACTTTGGACTCATGATGTCATGTGTAATTACGCATCGTGATGCACAGTGTTGTAAAACGATGACGCATTTAAATTCTTCCAATATTTTTTATTTATTTGACACTCAGCGAGTAAAATGAATACATTCGATGGAGCTTTACTCTGCTTTTTTATCATTTTTGTCTCTTACAAACATACAGCAGCATTTTCGATTTTTTTTCTCCAATTAAGTAAGAAGGAACAGTGCAGCATTTTGCAAGATTTAAAATTTGACTTCAGTTTCAGAGTGCCAATAGGAAAATTCACTCCCTACTAAAGATACACGTATAAATGCACATAGTCTCAAATGTATCTAAGGTGTATTCTCTGTGACAAGGAAATGACAAACTGAATTATATCACTTGTGGATTACCCCAAAAAATTCAATAAATTCGAGAGTAAAAATTTGCCTCGAAGCACAATTAAGTCTAGACATCTACCATTTGAAAACCTTCAGAGTCTGAACAATGGCATACCAGTATATTCACAATTACATGTTGCGCTTCACTGACTGGGCGTGTATACACAATATAAAATATTTGATAGCCAGTGGTGCATTATACAATAACTTTAATGGAAAGCTTGCTCTGTAGATGCGGGTGTATACAAGGGGAAAAAATGTGGACAGAAATTCTTGAACAAGAAAGAAGTAATGACCATGAAATGAGGTTCCTCCATAGAGAGAGAACAAACAAAAAATCAATGAAAAGAAAAAAAAAACTCAAGGTTGGTATTTCTTCTCATACAGGGGCATTCACAAAAGTACATTGTATTTACTTACCAATGCAGCCATGCACACGAACTGAGAGTTGGGATCGAAGTATTACAGAATGCTTGCGTCTGTTATTTCAAAAACAAAAAAGTGTGAAAAATGTTGAGTTTCCAAAGTTTTACTGCACACGTATGTATGGCGTGCATTTACTGGTAGTACAGGAACAGGATACCCTAAAAACCACTATCATGTTGCAGCCATTTGATATTTTTTCCCATTCAGATCAATGTAACCAAAGCGAGGCTGGAAGGAAACATAGTCTGGTTCCTTTTTGCACAAAAACATTATCATTCAGTACTGTTATTGGTTACAGGGAACATGACTATAATGGTACCCGTAAAAAAAAAACAGCCCCAAAACTAAAATTCCAAAAGTTGTCTTAAGGGCTTTATAGCTTTGAGGTATTAACTGCAACTTTCATGAGCCTCGTCTATCGTGCCTTAAATGCACATAAACATGACAGCTGTACTGGTTTTCCATGAAGCCTGGTTTTCATTTTAAAAATTCCCCACAAATGGCATTCAAAATATTTGTCTTAATTTGCAAAGTAATTTGTAAAACTGGGTACGGGTACCCGATCCCATATTTCTAAAACCGGTTCCCGACATACATAACCACAACAATACATTTACCACAAAGATGACATTAAAATATGTGAATAACAACCAATTTTAATTTTTTTTAATTTTCAGAGGTTTTATGAAGAAAATATGAAGTTTCACTAGTGAAAATCTAAAATATGGATAAGGTCACCAAGGGTTTCTACTGCAAAATGTAAGACATAAGTGTGCTACCTTAATCATTTTATTTTGGGGAAGGAAACTGCAGTGCCTTGGGAACAGAATAAATCATTTTTGAGTTGGCACGCTCTTTGGATATTTGTTTATGTCTATATAATTTACAGCCAGCTGTCAGAGCTATCTAATGAAATGTCATGGATGTGCGCCATGTGTAGACTTGGGTTCGCTTTCGGCTGTAGATATAGGTTTGTTGCAGTTCAAGCACAACATGGCATTCCATGTGATCATTGGCACATGTGGATACTGCTTCTTCAGACTGATGTTATTTTATTCTTATGGGGAAATATGCACAGCTTTTAAAATCTGCATACTTACTCTTTGTTGAAATTTTCAAAGTCGTCTTTCTGTTCATCAATGGAGGATTCCAGGTCTAGGTAATATCCATTGTGGGATAGCTGGAGTGTACAGTCTTCAACCTGAAAATGAATACAAATTTTGTGGTTCTTAAATTGAAAGGAAAAAAGGTACAAAAGCAACATTTGACATAGTTTAAAGAAGTTCAAAGTCAGACCTGTCTGTAAGGGTGTCCTCTTAACAAAATATCATGAAGGAAACACAAAGCACCGTGGGTAGTTTTACTGCCACGCTTAGGACCTTAGGTCATGGTTTAAAACTGTTTCCGATAAAAACTCAAAGAAACCAGCTGTCACCAGCATTCTTCGAGAGGGCAGTAAATTTGAGGCAACCATGGTTGCAGTATGGATGCATTTTTTACTGGTACTTGCTCTACATACCCTTTTACGGATAGTATTCAGCCTGGAGAATGTTCAATAAGGGATGTTGCACTGCATTGTGGGACAGTCTGAATGCACTGCACAAAATCCCCATTCATGGCACAAATTGTTCCATGATGCAATGTGGCATAATACTGATTGTGGCGAACTACTGATTTTATAAATGGAATGTGCATCTGGGTGATGTACATTTTAAATCTAATACTGGATTTTGCCCTTCAACGACGTATTGTACCGAATGATTGTGAGGAAAAAAATAACAAACTACCGGTACTAGGTTGGGACTCGAACCATTTACCACTCGACCACCGAGCTTGGTGGGGTCAGGGGGCTGGTTCGAATCTGATATAGCAGCGGGTTACTGCAACCAAATTTTTCGTAAGATGGAATTTGCGTCGGGGTGATGTAAGGGCAATATTGAGTACTTTGCCCTTCACCGATGTATTTATATAAACACTGTATACCCAGTGTTGTCCAGCGTGATTGTGAATAAAAATTCATTAACTACTTGGATGGGATTCGAACCCACGACCTTCTGCTTACTAGTGCAGACGTCTTACCACTCAACCACTTTCCCAGGTTGATCTTAGGATTTGTTTATAAATGTCAATAACCAATTTTAATTATTGGGCTCACATGTACAAGTACTATACACGTTCTTGTGAAATTGATCGTAAGTTTATTGCGCAGCTGCGCAACAAATTTGTTGCGTAAGTCCTACGCATGGCGCAAGCTATGCACTGTTTCATGAAATCGGCTGCAGGGCCTGAGTGTAACTACACAAACAATCGTCAACGAGCAGTTTCACGGTAATATTATGGGCCATCTTGTTCACGGGGCAAAAAGAACACTCGTTGCTAGACGCGGCGCATTTTGGAATGAACGTATGATGACTTGGAAGCGCAAAAGTTTTTGACCAACGATGCGTACACAGCAATGCGTGTAAATTTGCCCCGTCAGCAATATTGCGCATATTAGGTTATTATAAAAGTGCTTATTGATATTAGCCTTCTACTGGTACTTCAATACTATCACTGCGACAGTTCCAGATAACTTTTTATACAAGCCGCTGTACACCGGTCTATATTCGGCGTTTAATTTAATCAAGTGATCCAGAGTAAAATTCCTCCTCTTCAAGTTAAAACCAAATACAACATATACATGTACACAGACTCAACTTAAATCATGGCTTTTGTACAGGACTGAACCCGACAGTTGCGGATCACTTTCGACAGTTCCGGATCTAGCACGCTGCGCTACCTGGTACATGTACAAATTCATCATTCACAGGACGCTCAGCGAGCGCGTCGTATGTCAGGCTTTCATCATCTAAACTGCACACAAAACTGTATCGTGTGCATGGGTCAGATCCGCAACTGTTGCACGCAGGGATAGAAATCTTTCGGCGAATATGGAAATTCATTTAATTCAAATGCCAAAATCATTAATACTCAGTTATACTTGAAATTATTTCCTCACAAGAAAACCTAATATACATGTAGTGAAGAAAAAATGAGGAATGTTGACTACGTACGTTCCACAGGAAACTAGATTTTCACACTCACACAGTCACAGGCATGACAGGCAGTTTCTACAAAACAAGCGGATATTTCCCCGAACCGGATCATGGGTTAAGCGATTTCCAAAATTTATTTAACCTGACAATTGCAAAATGATAGACCTTCAAACTGGTAAAAAAAAATCTCAGAAAAAAGTTTGGGTACACTTGAATTAATTATTATTTAATTAAGTGTTACTGTTGGACATGTTGGAACTGCGACTGCTGACTGTCATGACTGTGTCATCATCAGACATGTCAGACATCTTGTCATTGAAATGTAGGCCTACATGTACCTGGACTCTGGAGATAAACACTACAGGGAAAAATGTGTAGGATTGGCATATAAATTATTACAGCGACAACAGGCCTGATGCTGATGACATGATGTCAATAGTCAAGTGCAGAGGTGTACAAAAGTTGACACTCATGACAGATTGAAAACTTTACACCATGTTGTCAATCATCATCACCTGATCACTGACGTTTTCCCGTGAACAAAACTAGAACCTACTTTATGCGGCGCTCTCAGAAACTTGTGGACGGCTTGCAGCTGGTCTAGTAGCGGCAAATACTCGTTGAATGTGAAGGAAGGGGGCCGTGTAGGCTCGGGGAACACTGTGCTGGCGAAAGGGTCTGTATCGTCCAAGTACTGGACCCTACACGTAAACGCCATCTTACTCTCCCAACCAAGATCTATGCACTACTGAATACGCATTGCATGCATGCTGTATGTACCGTACGCGCGCCGGTACCCTGTATGCATGTACATGTACTATGACATGTACCAAACTTTCCCATGTGTTTGTGTACATTGGACTAGGAGGATCAGCTGCTTGTAGCTGGTACTCTGCGCAAGCTGCGCACTGTTGCTACCTGAGTGGCGGTAACCGTATCGTTGTCTTCTGAACAACTTTTTTTGCAGACCACTGATGCGTAATGTAATCATCGAGTTATTAGTGACCCATCGCCTCTCAAGAAATTACTTTTTTTCCGGGGAAATGGGGTCAAAGTGGAAAAAACTAAGGTTTAATTCACAACCAGCATAGACTTAGTAATATGCTACTGACTTTTTGGCCTATAAGCAGCGAGCACCGGCAAAAGTTGACTTCCTCGTAACGGGTTTGGGAGGGTTTCAGTCATCCTTTTTTCAAGATTTTGAAGAAAACTGAAAGAAAAGGAGAGTTTCTGTTTTCTCACCCCTTCCAAAATAAAATCTGCTCCATCCTACCATGGATGAAGGCGTTCCTTCCTCCATGATCCTACATTGCTACTGCAGATAAAACCTAGGCACACCAGTAAGCTATAGAGGCCTATAATAAAGAGGTATTATCGTCCAGGATCAGTCCCCAAGGTCACTCTTGAAGAAGTAAGTTACACAAAGGCCTGTAAAGGCCAAGGGAATTCAGCTGTTTATATTTACATGTAGATTTTATATTTTTCAAGGAAAATAAAGGAGTGGATCATACGCCATTAGCCTAAAGGGCCTAATTCGGACCATGAATCATGATGATGGGACTCGATCGATTACGATTGGTAAGTATATATGCCTACTACATTCAATTTCATTCCTTTTAACTATACTTTTTAAAGTTTCACAAATTACCAATGGAACTGATTTCACCCATTTTGTGTGGCTCGTGATGGTCCGCGAGGTCCGGGTTTTGAAAGGCGCTGAAGTTTTAGTGACAAGCAGTGAAGGTTCTACGGGGGGGGGGGGGTTGTCTAGCCCCCCCCCAAAAAAAAAAAAATCCATCAAAAAAAAAAATTGCATTAGCAAAAAGAAGGAATGTGACGTACATGCGAACGGTCTCCCCCTAAAGAAATAGTCGTGACAAGGGTGCATTTGTAGTTAATATAGTGTGCGTGATTGTAGATTTTTATTGGCGCTCACCATTGAAAACGGGACGAGCCCCCCTCCCCCCCCCCCCCCCCCCCTCCACCTATTGATTTTCAGAGGCCCAAGTGTCTGGAGAAAATAACCGGTCTACATTTCAGCACGCCTCAATGACACAAATTCTGGATCCACCCCCTAGCCCCCCCAAAAAAAATTGGCTCTAGAACCGCGCCTGGTTAAGCCCAGACGCGGCGCGGCGGCGGACTGAAGTTTCGCGTGGATGGTCCAGAGGTCAATGAGGGCGCTATTTCCCTTTGATGGTATCGAGAATGACCTACAGACGAATGATATCAACAGACACCAAAAGTTTCATGTGATGATTAAAAAAAACCGGTTGTTGCCAAGGAAACATATTTCTTCGCTTAGGAATGATAAAATTTGCCGAATCGCACTTTACGGGTAAACATAATTGTCGTTACAAATTTTGTTGTGAGCCCGACACTTTTGAAGTAAATCTTCCGGTGTCACCATCTCACTTCTCCGGCGTGCTAGCTTCTCCAAGTTGGAAATTTCGCTTCACGGCAACACGCATGCTCAAAATGGCGCAGTGGTGTTCACCTTCGCCAACTTTATGTGCGTGCTGAGATCTTTGGGGTTGTACTGGTGCACGTAAGAAGTTAGGATGTTTGTACATTGTATGTATACGTCACATGGTACCTGGTACCGTCGAATCTAGACGTAGGCATGGTGGGGCGCGCAATTAACTCCCAACATCCTAATAACCAAAAAGACTTGAAGGATGCACTTTTATTTTAAACCGTGGTTGAACGTGGTTGCAAATTGGACATGCATGTGATGGACCACGACCGAGGAAGTAACACGCTTCTTAATTTGGTGGTCCGTTGACGGGTTTTTTAGCGGCAGGCCACAGGTGCTATATGCCGCTGATTGCCGCTGGTGGTCCACTAGTGGCTTTGGAGCTGCAGGCCACTGGAGGCATGCCACTAGCCTACCTCTGGCGGACCGCTGATAGTTTGGGTCGGCGTGCCGATATGCCAATCCGCTCCCCGCGGTCACCGGTGGTCCGCGCCGCCCGGCGGTGGCTTGCCGACTGGGGAGTCCCACGGTTTTCACCCATAAAAAAATACATCATTCTTATCACAATAACACGGTCCGCCTGTCCGCAACAATCGGATATAAACATCTGACGGGCCTGGAATCCCCCCTCCCACCCTCCCCCCCCCCCCCCGCAAAAATTCGTGAATCCGCCCCTGTACGCACCTGATGCCTTTTTAAAAAAACCTACGGTGTTCATTGTTGCGTATAGTAACGATAAGTATATGTTTAGCACACGTATCGGCCTACGACTAACGATACAGCCGTAAATAAAAACAGTTGGCTCATTATTGCCCAAAATGTCGACTTCTTTTCGTCCATCGAGCCAAAACAGATGCACGCAGCAATGTTCCACGTTTTCCCGCCTATTAAGACAAATTGTTTTTAACGAGAATTCATAGGAAGCAGAATGGCCTAGCGGTTAGATTCTTATCCATGAATCGCGGAGCCCGGGTTCGAATCCCGTCGGTGTCTTTTTGCTTTTTCAACGCACGCATTCAGTCAGTATAAGATGTTTTATTTCCCGTCGTAAAATACCAACTGTACCTTAGCTTAATCGGTAAGCACTGCGGCTGGTACTGTCCGTGAGTTCCAGGTTGGCGCCTTCGTACAGGTTCAGGGCATGTGGTCCACTCGGAGGATCAGGGCTTAGGGGCCGCCCTGTTCCTCCCTTAGCTCTTTGCTTTTACATGGTGCCTGGCCCTCCGGGGTTATATGGATGGACAGGGAAGGAAGTGTGTATTGGTCGGGGACGCCGAGACCCCGGAAGAGAACTAAGGGATCGGCTGGGGCATTGTTATGGCTCAGACCGATCCCTGAAAGCTTGACTAGCACATAACTTTTTGATTTTTTTTACCCTCTATCTTTTATACTTTGGTTTAGTTTGATATCTACAGCTGCTCGGCAGATCTACGGGTAGTATCAAAATTGAAACAAAGGTGTATGTCATAAATCAATGAATATTTCATAATTGACTATAATCAAAACGGAGTTTGGTTTGATCAATTTGACTATCATTATATAATGACGCGGTTGCCAATTGACGTAAATAAACGCCATAAATTATATCGGGAAAGAATAAAGATGTACATTGTAATATAAATATTATTTATACATCTTTCAAATAACGTGTCTTTAATTGTGAGCATTCCAAACAATACAGTAATTCGCAATAGTAATAGAATGGTATATGATCAATGCGTCTCTATTAAATTTAAAAAAATATAATCTAGGCCCCTATGTGTGAAATATTCTTTGATTGACTATGAGCATTCCGTACGAATGAGTTAATTCGCAACATATAGCAACAACAAAAGAGAAAGGAAAAAGAGAAAATTCCTTTACCCTAAAAACTGGAAAAATAATTTGTTTTAAAAAAGTCAAATGGGACACTTCATGTATTGATTTAACAGTTTGCAAGGGGTTAACCTAACATTTGAGCAAAATTGGGAAAAATCAGATGTTTCTGGAAAATTGCAGCTTGTAAGGGGTTAACCTTGCATTTTTAGTAAAATTTAGATGTTTATGAAACATTTCAAATAGTAAGGGGTGAACCTTGCATTTTTTTAGCGAAATTGGGCAAAATCAGATCTTTCTGGAACATTTCAGATTGTAAGGGGTTAACCTTGCTTTTGTAGTAAAATTTGGCGAAATAAGATGTGTATGAAAAATTTCAAATTGTAAGGGGTTAACCTTTCTTTTTTAGTAAAATTGGGAAAATTTAAATAAATGTTTATGAAAAATTTCAATTGTCAGTGATTAACCTTGCATTTTTTAGCAAAATCGGGCAAAATCAGGTGTTTATGGAAAATGTCAGATTGTAAGGGGTTAACTTTGCATTTTTAGCAAAATTGGGCAAAATCAGATTTGTATGAAAAATCAAAAATTGTAATGGCTTAACTTGGCATTTTTAGCATAACTGGGCAATATCAGATTTATATAAAAAATCTCAAATCGTAAGGGGTGAACCTTGTATTTTTAGCAAAATTGGGCAAAATCAGATCTTTCTGAAAATTTTTAGATTGTTAGGGGTTAACCTTGCTTTCTAAGCGATATTTGGCATAATAAGATGTGAATGAAAAATTTCGAATTGTAAGGGGTTAACCTTGCTTTTTTAGTAAAATTGGGCAAATTTAAATGTTTATGAAAAATCTCAAATTGTAAGGGGTGAAAGTTGCATTTTTTAGCAAAATAGGGCAAAATCAGGTGTTCATGAAAAACGTCAGATCGTAAGGGGTTCACCTTGCATTTTTAGCAAAATTGGGGAAAATCAGATTTGTATGAAAAATCAAAAATTGTAAGAGATTAACCTTTGCCAAATTAGGGCAAAATCTAACTTTGCCAAATTTCACTAAAAAAGCAGGGATAATCCCTTACATCTGAAATTTTCGAGAAACATCTGATTTTGCCCAATTTTGCTAAAATGCAAGGTTAACCCCTTACAATTTGAAATTTTCCGTAAACATCTGATTTTGCCCTATTTTGCAAAACAAAATGCAATCTTATCCCCTTACAATTTGAAAATTTTCATAAACATCTAATTTTTACCAAATTTCACTAAAAAAAAAAAGTAAGGTTAATTCCTTACATCGGAATTTTTTTCAGAAACATCTGATTTCGCCCAATTTTGCTAATATATGCAAGGTTCACCCCTTACAATTTGAGATTTTTCATAAAATCTCATTTTGCCCAATTTTGCTTAAAATGCAAGGTTAACCCCTTTCAATCTGCAATTTTCCAGAAACATCTGATTATGCCCTAATTTGGCAAAGGTTAACCCCTTACAATTTTTGATTTTTCATACAAATCTGA